TCTTGCTGACAATAAGGGACATGTATTGTCCGTTGTAATATGCATCAGTACAAGTTTGTATTTTGTTCACTGCGTTTAGCTTGCACATACAAATTCGTCGGTAAGAAATCTTTTAAAACACACAAAAAGAAAATCAACCAATAAGATCGCGCAAATACCAGCAAATGTCCTAACCGCTGTGTCTGACGCCCTTATCCTGCCGTTATCAGTGATAACTACCGCCATCAGTGGTATTTCCCATAAGAGCACGTCGCAACACACACTGGCGTACACAATTAGGTGACCAAAAGCAATATGACTCAGGGCAAGACGAAGAGAGAGACAGAGAGAAGAAGGGCTATGCGGAGGAACACACTGATGCAATCTCGGGCGGTGTGCGAGGAACACAGCAACAGGCAGCAGAGTGTGAGCAGTGAACAGAGTGCTCAGCCATGCAGCGTCAGGGAGTGGCAGCCTAGCCCCTTCCTACTATCCCCCCTCTCCCCCCTCTCTCTCTCCCTCTCTGTGTATCTCCTCCTCCCGGCAGCTCCCAGCACCGCCCCCCAGCGCATAACCGTTCCATTCTTTTTAAAACACCTCAAGCCAATATCCCCCCAGCGCGAGCGCTCGCTTGTGTTCCGCGGAGAGCGAGGAGAAATAGGCGGGAGGGGGCAACAGCAGAGAGAAAGAGAAAACCACCTCGCCCCCTCCGCCTACTCGCCTGCCGGGCTCGCTCTTCTCCTTTTACACTGATCATGATACCCCCCTCACCTCCTCTTCCTGCTCTTCCTCCTCCTCTATCCCCGTCTCCCTTCCCCACCACCAACCATACACCAGACAAGCAGCACACGCGCGCCTGCAAATTTCCCGCCCCATTTCGCTCGGTTTGGTCTTTGCTCCAACAATCGCAGCGAAACAGGAGCCAACACACAGCAGGTGACAATAAAGGGCGCAGCACCATAGCAGCGTTAAGACGGACAATATGCTTACTCTTTCGAGTTGTGCCTGTCTCTGTACGTCCGTCTGCCTGTCTGTCTCTCTCTCCGTCACGGTCTTTCGGTCTGACTAGCAGGCATCTTCCTGTCCTCTCTTTTCTCCGCACAACGCGTGCTTTGGCCACGTCTCTTTTCTCCCCCCACCCTCTCTCTCTCTCTCTCTCTCTCTCTCTCTCTCTCTCCCTCCCTTCTCGTCTTTGTTTTCAGGCTTATGGCCGAAACGTGTTGATGGCCTTCATCTCGCCGCCTGGCACGCTGCTGCTCGCCCCTCTTCCCCCGAGAGAGAGTGTCTCTCTCTCTCTCTCTCTTGCTCGCTCTCTCTCTCTCTCTCTCTCTCTCTCTCTCTCTCTCTCCTCCCTTTCCCACACGCCTCCAACCTGTCCCTGGCGGGACCGGCGCGGCGGGTCGGTCCATTCCGCCCACACAGCAGTCCGTGCATCGGAATCCCATGCCCCGCCCCGCCCCGCCCCGCCACGCCACGCCCCGCCACGCCGCGCGCTCCCGGGGCTGGCCATAAACTAGCCGGGGGCTGAGCTCTGGAATGAAATGGGTTATTGGATGCGGATATGCCGTACACTGCCAAGATATCAACACGACTGGACCAAAAAAAAAAATAAACACACAAAAAAAAGATATATATGATGCAGCAGGCCGCGGAGGTTTAGGAGAACAAAAAACAAATAGCGAGAGAAAATAATTAAAATATAAGGGGAATGGAGAAATAAACGAGTTGCCCGCAACGGGATGGAGAGCAAAGAGGAGGGAGGAAGGGTGTGTGAGGGAGGGAGGGAGGGAGAGGGGGGGGAGAAGGTCGATTTACGGTGCGAGTTTATTTTCGCTCATTACGGATATTACAGTTTTTCACGATACGGCCTGGCCGGACCGGGAGGTGGCAGTGGCGGCGGAGAGGTGGCGTAGAGGCAGGGGGAAAGGGGGGAGGGAGGGGGGAGGTGGGGTATTTTGTCGCGTCGTAAAGTTGATTTATTTAACAACGACGGAACGACAAACGGGAAAAGGACAGAGCAAAACAAACAACAGAGCCGCACAAGCGCAGCACCGAGGTTTGTTGCCGCTGCTGCTGTCCTTGTTGCTCAGGCGTTTGGCGGTGATTTTTTTTTCCTCCCCTTGAACCTCGTCTCTCCTCCCCTCCCCTCCCCTCCCGCCGCATGCCCTCTCCTCCTCTCACTGCCCTACTTCCGGCTGGGAGGCCGTCGCCGCCGGTCCGCCGGCCGCAGGGAAGGGGAAATATGAACTCAATATAAATAATTGACGGTGTAGGAGAGAGAGAGAGACAGAGAGGGAGAGAGGGAGGGAGGGAGAGAGAGGGTGAGAGGGGAGGGGGGAGGAGAGGGAGAGAGGGGGAGGGGGAGTCGGTAGCGGGCAGCCCTCGGCCGGGTATGAATTTCTCTCAGTGAAAGAGAAGAAAAGCTGGGCTGCCTCCCATTCAACCCGCAGCCGGCCCGGCCCGGCCCGGACAGCGCGGGGTCGAGCCCGACCCAGCCCGGGCTTCCGGCCGCCTAGCGCCGGCATGACGGGTCACGGAACGCCCCGCCCCGCCCCGCC